GCCCATCTCAGCGGCGAGAACATCTCCTCTACAAAAGTTTCTCAAAGTGAACAGTTTCAAATCATGAAGCTCAGCACTTGTTCAAAATTCAGACATAACTTTCATTTAGATCAACAGGGAAATGAGAGTCCTAATCCCTTCTTCTCATTGTCTTTGCATCTCCCGTGAGCATCACCTTCCCAGGCACCGAATACATCACCAGCCTGGGAGGAGCAAGAGTGCACAAAGCCACACAATCCGCTCTCTACGCACTGCGCCTGAAGCAGGGCGCTGCCCCCAAGTGGGGCTTCAGGCGTGAGTTTTTAGTGTAGGGATGCCTCAGTAATTTGGAGTTAAGGTTCAGGGGCAGAAAAATCAGAATAAAAGCAAAAACTAAGTCACAGACTACTTCCAAACAGCATACTTACTGCTTTCAAGCTCAGGCCATTTCACACTTGCTTGACTCCCTTACTTTCTACATGGGTCAAGATGCCAAGAATACTCTTCAGAAAATATTACTTTACATCACCCCAGCACCCAAAGACCCCAGCTTGGAGTTAGAACTAATTCCGATGCCTGCTTCCTACTTTTCAGAGCAAGGGATTGTTTCCTAAGCAAACAGTAGAAACTCAGTTGTGGGGAGAATGTTTGACCTGTTTTTGGTAAGTTCTTAAAGCATTCTGAAGACCCCCATGATAAGTACAACAGCTTTGGAAGTCCATGCTCTCTCAACCCACGCTGGCCCTGTCCAAATTCATGCTTCCCTTCAGCCCCTCTCCTGGCTCCACACAACTTCTAATCTTTCACTTTGTGGGTTTTCCTACAAAATTGCTGTGGACGACTTGTAGGATCTGAGAGTGTTTGGTTTTGAGTCTGAATGAACTACTTCCTCAGCCCCCTGGGAGAGGATACTGGAGACTACCCAGGAAGCTTTGGACAGATACCACTCTACCACGATGACATAAAATTTAACTACAAAGTACCTGGACTTTTAAAAATGTCTAATAACTACCAAAAGGAGCAAAGGACAACCTAGTCCCATCCTAGAGATGAGAAGGCTAGAGAACAGGAAGCCCAATTTACCCGGATGGCAGTAATCAGCAAGCATGACCGCCCTCAGCCCTCCAGTTCCCGTCTTGTTCCTCTCAAGTACAGGAGAGGAAGGAGGGAGGACAGATCATGGGAATCATCTTGCAATTTGGCTCTAGTTCTTTAAACCAGTTAATTCTGTGTCCCTAAAACCTGAAGCAAAGTCCTACTCCAAACCCAACTAACCTGAAGGCAGGCCCAGAAGAAGTCCCTTCTTGGTGGTCCTGGCAGTCACTCAGTTGAGGGGCTGCTAAGATGGGACAAAGTAGGCCACCCAGCAGACTACCTCTACCCAGTTAGACAGGTACTATGAAGGCATCTGCCACCTAAATGTGCTCCTCCCTGCTAGCACCTTTGTTCTTTTGATCACAGTCATTACCTTATCTTCTTTTAAAGTCAAGCAGCCCTGGCTGGTTTTCTCAGTGGTCAGAGCGTTGGCCTACAGACTGAAGGGTCCTGGGTTCGATTCTGGCCAAGGGCAAGTACTTTGGTTGCAGGCTCAATTGCCAGCCCTGGTCAAGGTGCGTGTGGGAGGCAACTAATCGATGTTTCTCTCTCTTACTTCCACTCTAAAAAAAGCAATGGGAGATTCCAAGATGGTGGCAGATTGAGTGGAAGCTACACTGACACTCTCCCAGGACCAAACCATCCTGAATAATCAACTGCAACTGAAAACAAGCTGGAGAGCAACCTCATAACCAAGGACGCAAAGTGGAGACGGCATAGAGAAGTGCGGAGGCGTGAGAGGGCTGGCTGGGCTCCCACAGGCAGCAGCTGAAGGTCCAGAGGGATATCTCAGCTGTGGGGGGTTCCCACTGAGAACTCTGGGGCCTAAACCCCAGGCTGGGCTTCCCAGCCCAGAGCACCAGAACTGAGAAAGGTGCCCACATAACATCTGGCTGTGAAAAGCAGCAGGGTTTCTGCCTGCCAGGGAGAGACGACTGGAAATGCAGGCACCCTCTTAAACAGCCAACGCACAAAGTTTCCTGTGCAGCCACTCACCTTAGGCTCCGGATGAGAAGGGAGAGTGGACTAGAGCTGTGTGAGGAGAATCCAGGGGTGCTGGCAGCAGGAATAGAGCTCAGAGGGCAGCCATCTGGATCCCTGGTGCTGAGTCATTCCCCCACACGGCTGAGGACATTTTTCTCAGGCAGACACTTACCTTCCAAGTAGCTTTTGCCTGCGGGGGAAGCAACTGCCCTGCCCTGCTGGAAATCCTCTCCCCCGTTTAGTTTCTACAACTTGAGGCTCATTAAGAGGCTCATAACAATTAGCCACCCACCCTGTGAAGTTTCTACAGCCTGAGGCTCATTAAGAGACTGAATAACAGCCTCTGGGTGCTTTGAGTCTGCCTGATTTCCTTCTGGACCCTGGGCTCAGAAAAGCAGACCTTGGTGGGCATCTTGGTCCTGTCCAAACACACCCAGCCCCAGCAGAGGAAGCCACAAGCTGTGGACTGTGGAAAACTTCAAGCAGGTTACTCAAGGCGAGTCACAAACAGTGTCTGACATTGGCCTGAGCCAGAGATCATCCAAAAGACCAGGAGTCCTCGAAGATCTACCCAATACTAGAAACAAACCCAAACAGGCAGCCAAAATGGGGAGACAAAAAAACATGCCCCAAATGAAAGAACAAAAGAATTCTCCAGAAGAAGAGCTAAATGAAAAGGAGATAAGCAATTTATCAGATACAGAGTTGGGAACACTGATCATAAGGATGATCAACAGCATGAGAAAAGAAACAGAACCCATGAAGGAAATTAAGAATGACATAGTAGAAAGAAAATAAAATAAAACATTGGAAGGAATAAACAGCAGATTAGGGGAAAATGAGGATTGGATCAGCAAATTAGAAGACAGTAGAAAAAATAACTCAATCAGAGAACCAAAAAGAAAAACAATTAAAAAACAGGAGGACAGTTTAAGGGAGCTATGGGACAACATGAAACATAACAGTATTTGCATCATAGATGAGTACCAGGAGATCTATAAAGTAAGCAAGGGTTAGAGAACCTGTTTGAAGAAATAATAGCAGAAAACTTCCCTAACCTGGTCAAGAAAATAGTTACCCAAGTTCAGGAGGCACAGAGTCCCAAGCGAGAAGCCAAAAAGGCCCAAGCCCAGACACATCATAATTAAAATGCCAAAAATTCAAGACAAAGAGAGAATCTTAAACGCAGCAAGAGAAAAGCAATCTGTTACCTACAAAGGCACTCCCATAAGGCTGTCAGCTGATTTCTCATCAGAATCTCTACAGGCCAGAAGGGAATGGCATGAAGTATTCAAGGTAATGCAAAACAAGGATCTGAAACCAAGACTACTCTATCCAGCAAGGCTATCATTCAGAATAGGTGGTGAAATAAAGAGCTTCCCAGACAAAAAAAAAAGCTAACAGAGCTTATCACCACCAAACCAGCATTGCAAGAAATGCTAAAGGGACTGCTGTAATAAGAAGTAGAAATAGAAAGAGAAACATAAGTATAATGAATTAAAATGGCAATAGATAAGTACCTATCACTAATAACCTTAAATATAAATAGATTAAATACTCCAATCAAANTAAATGGATTAAAAGCTCCAATCAAAGGACATAGGGAAGCTGAATGGAAAAGAAAACAAGACCCAAATATATGCTGTTTACAAGAGACCCACCTCAGGACAACAGTCACACAGGCTGGAAAAAAAAAGAAAGAAAAAACTTCTGGAGGACTTTAAGGGAGAGATTGACAGCAATATAGTCACAGTAGGGAACTTTAATACCTTACTGACTTTACTGGATAGATCTTCTAAACAAAAATCAACAAGAAAACAATGACTCTAAATGACACACTAGATCAGATGGATTTAACTGACATTTACAGAACATTTCTCCTGCAGAATATGCATTCTCCTCAAGTGCACATGGGACATTCTCAAAGATAGACCATGTTATGATATAAAACAAGTCTACAAGTTCAAGAAGATTGAAATCATATCAAGCATCTTCTCAGACACTTACACCATGGAATACTATGCAGCTGTAAAAACAAAGGATCCCTTACCCTTTGAGACAGTATGGTGGGACCTGGAGAGTATTATGCTAAAAAAGTGAAATAAGCCAGTCTGAGAGAGACAAGTATCACATGATCTCACTCATATGTGGAATGTAATGAACAAAATAAACCGATGAACAAGAGAGATCCAGAGTCAGAGAAGCATGGAACAGACTGATGAATCTC